GATCCCCACGGCCTCCTGGGAGATGCTTCGGGTTCACCGGCGGAGATTGTTGGCTTGGGTCTCCTGGCTTGTTGTCTGTACCAGCCCACACCAGGTGTTAGGAGCTTGGGTACTGCTCCTCGCACAGAGCAGAGATAGGTAGACGTAGACCCATAACCTTAGGATAGCTTAGTTCTGGTAAGTAAATTTAAGGGTAGTCTTAGAACCTAGCCCTAGTTGCTAGCTCCAATCTCGTCCTGAACCAGTGGAATAGCTCGCTTCCAGTTGCTGGAGTGAGGTAGCGATTCTGGTCGGACTACTAGACAAGGGTAGGTAGGTAGTCAAGGATGAGGTAGTCAGAAGATTTGAGAGAAGAAAATAGGCTAGCAAATACAGCTTGTCCCCCATATGAGGAGCAGAAAAAATAAAATGCAATGAAGAAAAAAACAGGAACCTTGATGAGTTTTATTCATGGTAACCAGCCAGACACTGGATCGGGATACTGATGGACCAGATGCCCGGGTTGGTCGTCCGGTCAAATACGTCTAGATTGCGCTCCCCCCCTGTGGCATTCTGAGCCACACGGGCCCCAGTTAGGGCCCGGTTCCAGACAGGCAGGGTAAGCCTAAGGGACGACGGTTCAGATGAGGCCCAGATGGGCCTGGACCATGACGGTTCAGGCAGGCCCAGGGTAGAGGCCCAGGCCAAACGGCCACAAGGCTGGTACCGGTCCGGCATAAGGACCTACCGGCGGCGCTGCAGAGGCTGCCACAGTTTAGGTGCCAACCAGTTTTAAAACTGGACCGTTGATCTAGATCAACGGTCCAGGCCGGTAGGTACCAGCGGGTAGGAGGCCGGCCCAGCACTACAAAAGGCTGGGTACCAGCCTCAGTAGTTTAGAGTTAGTATGGACGAGGTTAGTCTTCAGGGATTAGCGCAGCAGCCCAGCGTTAGCTCGATTAGCGCAGCGCTGCAGCACAGCGAGGAGCAGCGAGAGAACCAGAGACCAGCGGCGAGGAGATCAGCGCAGCATTGGGCGCAGCGCCAGTTACCAGCCCAGCCCCTTGCAGCGCCATAGCCAGGTACCAGGGAGGAAGGCTTCGCCTTCTCTCCCTCCTCTCCTCTACCGCTCCTCTCTCCTCTCTCTCTCTCTCTCTCTCTCTCTCTCTCTCTCTCTCTCTCTCTCTCTCTCTCTCTCTCTCTCTCTCTCTCCTCCTACCTTCTCAGTCTCAGTCTACTTCTGGGATCTCCTACGGGACTACTGCAGTATGAAGGATGGTTACGAAATCTGATAACATTTGGAACAGCGACATCGGGATTACGAGTTGAGGACTGATTGGGGGTCTGATTTCATCTTCCTTCTGGAGATGTACTTGACATTGTGAGATCGATATCTGAGATATTGTGAGACTTGGCATTCGCGACATTTCGGATTTTCGTCACTTCTGACAGTTCAAGATACTATCTTTGGAAACATTGAGTTGACGTCATCTTCCCTCTCCTCCTCCTTCGTCTCTCTCCTCTCTCCCTTCGTCCGTGGATGATCTCAGTCCCTGGCCCTTCGTCTATCTGAGGCCAGGGCATTCACACCCCTGATGAATGTTTGAGAGTGTTCGATTGCAGTGCGAGTCAGGTCCGAGTCAGTCCAAAGGTATCTCACTCTTCCGCTGTATTTGTATCAACTCTGTATTATCTCGTCGGTTCTGGGAATCTGCGCCATACTCATGACTGTGTTTCACGGGTATGCAACCCGTCCCCCCCCCCCCCTCTTTGACGATTTTTCAAAAAAACAAAGGGGGCGCCAAGGGTGTTCTTCGGGGCCCAGGTGCCCCTGCAAACATGCTGCGTCATTTCTCGGGGATATTAGGCCCTCCTGGACAGGCCTGATGCGGCCTATTCATGTGAACAGGAATTTTGAATTCTGGCATCAGGGGAGGCGAGAGGAGGTGGTATTCTTCACCAGTAGCAGGCGGCAATCTTCAGTTGTATTTCTCCTCTCTTCTTTAAAAGGGTGACAGCCTTGAGATATCACCATTGAGCTGACAGGCCCCGGGTAATTCACAATTGCAGTATTCTGTTCAGCTGGTTGCATCTGGATTCGATCTTGGCTCTGCAATTCAACAGTCCATGGGTGTACCAAACGAGTACCAACTGAGCTAGGCTCGTTGGTGTAGGCGACATTCTCTGTGAGGAGGAGGCAGCATTCTTCGTGAGGAGAAAGGAAAGAAAGGGCCTCCCTCCACTACCCACCAAATGTGCAAATTGAGAATGAATCTTCCGCGAGAAGAAGGAAAGATACACCGCCATATATTTTGTCTTTTGTGCATGTGGCGAGTAGTGGAGTGAGGCCCAAAGTCGAATTGCAAGTACAAACTAGAGGCAAAATTGTATGTCGACAACGTAGTCTTACCTCATGTCTGTGGAATGACTGCCTGCCTCTCGCTGGATTGCCGCATCCTCTTGGAGGTTTGCACCGCAGTGGTGGCCAGTTCAAATCCAGCTGACGTTGCAGGTCTTCGATCTGGGAAAAGGTAGGTCACAATAAAACACACACACACACAGGAAAAACAAAAGTCATTGACAAATACTGAGACCCAAAGTGGTTTATAGTAGCATTCGGCATTTGCTGCGCTCTCGCTCTTCTTCTTCTTCTTTTTCTTCTTCTTCTTCTTTACAAAAACAGAACCTCGCGGTTCTGGCTCCTTTCCATTCTGCGGAGCATCAGTCCGGTTCCTATTCCACCGGCAAGTCAGAAAGGGTTACAAATGTATACTCACGCACGCTCCTCCCCATGACGGCTGAGAGGCCCGCGTGGACGGTGCATTGATTACTTCCCAAGGGAAGGATGTACCACCCCTCACCCCTGCCTACGTTAGTCTACAAGACTTACTTTTGAGCTGGTTGCTACCGTCTTCACCCGAATAGAACGCCCGGTCATTATAGCTGTATTTGGTCGAAATTTAAGTCTAGATGCATTGATAATGACTGGGCATTCGGGTGAAGACGCTAGTCTGACTTCTACGACATCTGTTTGCTATTCGTAACTTACCTAAGAGAGTTCTAGCTGCTACTTGACCGTCGGATTTACCTCAAGTACTGTAGCTGACAGCTTGGCATCTTACTGTCGTTCCTTCTAAACCCCTAAACCCTAACTGCCCTGTCTCGTACTTACTCCTCTCAGCTGTTGGGCTGTCAGATTTACTTGGGCAACTAGAGCAGTATGAGGCATCAACCCCTTCTAACCCTTGTTAAATCCCTACACACTAGATCGGACTCTTCTTCTTCTTCTTCTTCTTCTTCTTCTTCTTCTTCTTCTTCTTCTTCTTCTTCTTCTTCTTCTTCTTCTTCTTTCCCTTAAAGATGAACAGGTCCTTATGGTCCTGGCTCCATATCCATTATGGGGAGCATCAGTCCGGTTCCTCTTCCCCTGACAAGTCAAGATTGAATACATCATGATACACGCTCACGCTTCCTTCTGTATGGCCGAAGGAACCCTGACTAGCATTGATTACTCCAGCATTGTGGAGGATTGACTGTCAGCTTGCCTTCCCTTAATCTCCCTCTCAGATCCCTCTATGGGAAGGAACCTGTCAGATAATGAGTAGCTTTTGAGTAGCACTGCGAAAGTGTGTTCATCCTCATGTGGCCTGTGGATCCTGTGGGCCGCCCGTTGCCTGCAGAGTTGAGCTCGTACAGCTCGCTTCCGATTTATGCCACTCTTTCCACCGTGAAGATTGTTTTGCCGTATGTCTCACTTTCCTGAGGAGGAAGATGTCTAGGCTTGTTCTTTCCACGTCCACAGCGATCCAGGACCTGGAATTTGACCCAACAGAATGGGCCTGGACATCAGGTCTAAACAATAAATATCAATACAGACATCCAGGACTACTCAGTGAAAATGGGTGACAACTTACAAGTTCTTCCTCAAGACGAGAGATCCGGAACCTACAATCAGAAGCAGACGACAAAAATTAATCGGGCAAGAGGCGGACCAGATCTCACAAATCCCATGGAAGAAATTCAAAGCCATCAGGCCGGTCAAAATTAGGAGTCTCCAATGGCTTATCGCCTACGTGGCACTACCTGTTAACCAATGGCTCCACATTCGAAGATGGAGGACATACTCCTAACAGTTCCTGACCTATGCACAGTCTGTTCAGATAATGAGCTAGAAGACATACTCCACTGCCTAGTTCGATGAAAGGAAGCGACAGAGTACTGGGCTAGGGCCTCGGACCTCTGGGACTCCCTTTTCGCAACACCCCTCCCTGAACATCCCGTCCAACTTCTACTATGGACTAACGTCATCCTGACTGATCTCAATAACACTGAGAGAACATGGTATGGCATGATCAGAAAGGTTAGACTTAGATCGATTTGGGAGGAGAGATGCATCAGGACCATCGAGGGACTATCAACTCCAAGAGAAAAGTTATGGGCGGAGACAAGGACCCTGATACAGGCGGAATTCCTATGCAGTTGGCAAAAAACAAGACGTTTCTTTGCCCGCGGAGTATCCTCTCCAAGTTTGTCAAAAATTGGCTGGTGGGGGGGAGAATTGCAGAAATGAGCTACCACAACTGCACAGCCATGGACTGACGGCGATGTTGGGTAGGACGTGAACATAGCAACAGTATCAGAACCTGGTTGTTTGTGTGAAAACTGGTAGGCCCTCGAGGGGGCCATTTCCTGTATTCGAATATGCAGGCCAAAATGAAGGGCAAAATGAAGGAAGAACGCTCGATCATACACTCCCGACAAATGGCATGTCGATTGCAGGCCAAAATGAAGGAAGAATGCAAACCACAAAAAAACATGCATTCAGTATAGCGCCCATGGCCCCAAAATGGACATATAGTGTTCGGTTGTGGAGGGTGCCTGCAGTTAGGAATGGAAGGACAATCCTCTACACACATGGATGCAGAAACAATGCCATCGTAGTGATTGTGACAGAGACGATGGCGGCTACAACCGAGTGTAACAGTGTCTGTAGTTGTGCAAGGAGAAGGTCGCAGAGTGTTGGTACATTGTCCTGCTGCAGCAAGGGTAAGAAATTACTAACAACAGTCATGGCATGGACCATGATGCTGTTGTCCCACAACTCCCAGTGGCAATGGCCATGTAATGGCCAGGTCCATGCACAATGCAGGCAGAGATGTGGGATGAAGGATTAAACCACTCACCTGCTCGAGCATTGCGTAGTTCAAGTTGGTGACCCTCATTGCTACGTGTAGGACAGCAATGGTAAAGCCTCTTTCCCTGGTATATTACAATCCTCGAGCTGTAGGCGGGGGAGATCAGCATCAAGTTGAAGGGCGATTGCAAGGAAGTCTGATTGTGTATAAAATGGGCGGTAGAGAATGTGAAGACAGATAGTAGTTGTAGTAAGACTACAAAGATTGGTGAGGATATCGGGCTGGTGTGCCGGATGCTGGCCAACAATTTGCAGATCACCCAAATGGTGTTGCAACTTGCAAGCCCAAAATGTCTTGGGTTGCTTGCTGGTCAGTCATTTGCAGAACACCCATGTGGTCTGTGCATGGTGGGGCACAAATTTGTGGTTCATCCAAACGATGCTGGTCAGCCATTTGCAGATCCCTCATATGGTCTATGCCTTCTGGGGTTAACTGCACTCCATTTGCAGATCCCCCATATGGTCTACGCCTTGTGGGGTTAACTGCACTCCAGGCAGATCATGTTCCAATCCCTCAACGTTTGGGGCCGCATCTTGAGTAGGGAATGTCCCTGGAATCACCAGGGACCACATCCTGTTGTACCATACTTGCAAGCGGACGCCGTCCGGGCGGTTATGGGCGGACCGCCGGACCGGACCCGCGTGGCGCACGAATGTGCGCCTGACGACCAGTTACCCCCCCCCCCCCCCCCCCCCAAAAAAAAAAAAAGGGGGTCGAAACGACAGTTTCGAGGCCCCATTCGAAAAATGTGACCAGTACCGCCAATTTTTTTTTTCGGCTTGCGCTCAAGGGCGGACCGCCTTGGGGTTTCAAAATTCGAAACCCCGACTCAGGGCATTACTCACTTGGTTTGAAACGCAGTCGCAGAGGAAAGTGCCGCTGGCCATCTGCTATTCGCACACTCCTGCCTGTCGCCGTCACCATCCTGCTGCGCCGCCGTTCCGCCCGTCGCCATCTTGCCCGTCGTTGGAGCCGTCGAGGAGGAATATCGTCATTGCGGCCATCGAGGAGGAGCAGCCCGTCCCGCCCGTCGCCATACTGCTGTCCCCGACGGTGAGTGTCACCAGCCTGTCGTCCTCCTCTTCCTCATCCTTCTCCGCTGCTCCTCCTCCTCCTCCACCTCCACCTCGTCTCCCCCCTCTTCTGCTTCTCCTCGTCTTCGTCCTCCTCCACACTTCCTCCCGTCGCCATCCTGCCCGTCCGCTTCTCCTCCTCTTATCCCTCATCGTCCTCCTCTCCATCCTCGTTGTCCTCCTCGTCCTCCTCACTTCCTCCCGTTCTCCTCCTCCCCCTCATCGTCCTCCTCACTTCCTCCCGTTCGGTCCGGTGTGAGGAAACCTGGGGAGGGGTCGCCTACCGCTCGCTGAAGCCAAGGGCAACGACGCCTGTCACTCGCCGCGCCCGCTTCCGAGGTCCTCAGCGACCAGGGCGGTTCGGGGCTTGAGCTGCCTGTCACGCGCCCACTTAGAGCTTGAGTCTGAAGGCTCAGACCATATACTAAAAAAAAATAAAAAATAAAATAAAAGGGTGACAAAAGAGGACTGCGGTCCTGCGAATATGAGATCTGTGTCGAGGACCTCGTGGGAACCGTCTCAGATACTCAGGGATATAATCTGCAATTTGTCTGTCCGTGGAACGGGAAGAAGTTTCGTCTGAACAGCAGATTCACCCCGCAAGCAGGGCACATGTGAAACTGGGCTTAAACCTTCGGGGTCCATCCGCAATTTAGTTCAAACAAAATGCGGCCATGTCTCCCCCAAAGATTTAACCTCAGCGAAAGCTCAGTGGGAGTAATCTCTCYAGAATTCCAGAAATATTTCAGGGATCACCTCGACATACCTCCCCCTTTACTTCAACCCCATGCTGGTTTTATGTAATGCCAATGGTTTATACCCTGGAAAACCCACAACCAATGGTCGAACTCCCAGCAAACGCTGCGCATTGGGCTGTTACACTCCTAAGGGCATTGACCTGTTGCCCATTCGCAGGCGCTATGATATCAAAGGAACGTTTCTGGTTCCCGCTCCGACTGAAGCTTCCTTTTTCAACAGAAATAGAGTGACAGAACCCAAGGGCGGCATATAATAATAAAATTATTATAAAACTATATATGTTATAATATGTATATGAAATTGTAGTGGACGGAAAAAAAAAAAATCAGGAGACAACCTCCTGCAACTAATTAACAGCTGAATGATGGTGGAGAGACGTTTCACCATAGAGCCTCATCGGTACCGTCTGATTGAGAAAACCATAACAGTCTCCTTCAGCCGTTACCCCACTGCACTTCCTGTAGAGCATGCTGGTGACGATTTTCCCCTTTTCG